ACTGTGTGAGTCTTCAAGCATCACCTCGAACTGTGTAAGTCTCCAATCATCACCTCGAACTGTGCCAATCTCCAAGCTTCACCTTAGGCCACTTCGACCTCCACCCGACACTCGAAGGAAGTCGGGTCTCCCTAATCCTTCATCGTGCGATAAGGCTGACCTCGCACCAGGTCAAGGGGCGTCTCTGGGAGGGTCTGCAGTGTGAGTTGCAATTATGCAGGATGGTTTTCTGTTTTAAAAGTTTTAAAAGTTGCTTGGAAGATGTTCGAGAGATAGTTTGCATGTGGTATAGTGTTCTTTGCTTGTGTTTGTTTGTTTGTGTATGTGTGTTTGTGTTTGAGCGTGTGTTTTTGTAGGGGAGGCTCAAGATAACATTTGATCGTTTAAATCCATGAGTTTGATATTCTATAAATGTTTTAATTACTTGAGTAATGTTTAATTAGTTGAGTAATAAGTGCTTGTTCTGCGTGTGAAGGGATGTGTGTGTATGCTGTTTTTCCCCCTCTCTTTCACTTTATCTCTCTCTCTTTTACTTAGTCTCCCTCTATCTCTCTCTTTCTGTCGCTCTCTCTCTCTTTCTCCCTCTCACTTTTTCACGTTCTCTTTTACTTTCTCTCCTCTCTCTCTCTCTCTCTCTCTCCTCTCTCTCTCTCTCTCTCTCTCTCTCTCTCTCTCTCTCTCTCTCTCTCTCTCTCTCCCTCTCTCTCTCTCCCTCTTTTCTCTCTCTCTCTCTTTCTCCCTCTTTCCTCTTTCTCTCTCCTCCCTCCCCCTCTCTCCTCGTCCCCCCTCTCCCTTTCTTTCCCTCCCTCCCTCTCGCTCATTTTTTTCTCTTTCTTATCAAAATTTCCATCACAATAATAATGAAGATACTATTACACTTTTTCAGCCATTTATCCAGTAAGACTTTGACGTAAAACGCAATCCGATACTGTGCCTCATCTCCTCTTTAAGCTGTTCCCGTGCTTACCCTTCTCATCTCGGTAAAATGAGAACAAATATCTGAATGAAAAAGAAAATTAAGATATAAAGCAGAATAATAAACTAATGTAACTTACGGTAGTCAAGAAAAAAAAGAAACAAAAAAGGAAAAAACATATATAAACAAATGAATATATATCTATATATATCTCTATATATACATATATACATATGTATATATATACGTAATAAAGTGAAATAAAACTAAAATGAATATGACCTACGCTTGCAAAATAAAAATCAATTGATTTACAAATAAAAAGTGAAAAAGCATGAATGAATAAAAATGAATATCCCATTAAAAGACATACTCCATTAAAAGAAATCTTCGAAAACCGAGGAGGGTGTTCCTTCCATGTTTAGCGATAGACATCAGGCATCTATGCACCTAATAAGATAGCTTTCCTATAGGCTTGGTTGATGGATTGCAAAGCATATCTTAAAATATCAGCAATGTCCTTTTTTTTATATTTGCAAGGAATTTTCCCATTTGTTTTGTGTTTTACGGGAGTCAGTCTCTTTGTATATCTACGGTATATTCAGCCCCGTTTCTGCTCCTCCTGTCCATTACACGTGCCCAAAGCAATCATAGTATCAAGAAAGAAGAAATAAGTAAAGAGAGAGAGAGAAAGAAAGAATAAGAAGAAGAGAGAGAGAGAGAGAGAGAGAAGAGAGAGAGAGAGAGGAGAGAGAGAGAGAGAGAGAGAGAGAGAGAGAGAGAGAGAGAGAGAGAAACGAAGCTACGGCTATATTAATCTAGGAAAATATACCCTAAGAACGAGTGTTCCATTTTCATTAATCAAATCGCCTCATGTCACACAAGCCTGTTTCTATTTTTACGTCTTAAGTAGCTTATGGGAGGAAGGAATACAGCACTATTATGGCCTCATTCTGGTGCCAGGCTATTTTAAGCAAGAAGATCCGAATGATCCCGTTGTTTCTACCATTTATAATTACACCAGTTTCTCAAATGATTCCCTTATTTCCACTTTCCATAAACATGTCCTATCTGCAGATATCTTCAACGATCGAATATCAGTTCCAGTATATATACCCGCATCATAACATATATATAAGTATGTATGTATAGATAGATAGATAGATAGATAGATAGATAGATAGATAGATAGATAGATAGATAGATATAGATAGATAGATAGATAGATTAGATAGATAGATGGATGGATAATAGATAGATAGATAGATAGATAGATAGATAGATAGATTGATAGATAGATAGATAGATAGATAGATAGATAGATAGATAGTAATAAATAGATGATAGAAGATACACACACCACACACACACACACACACATTATATATATTATATATATATATATATATATATATATATTTATTTATTTATTTTTTATATTTATAAAGTGAATACCTATTTCAAGTAAAGCAAACCCTCGCGTATCGGCATCGAAGGGAAGCCAAGGCCAGCGATAACCCGCACCCTAACTAACCCTTAATACTCGCAGCGCCTCCCGGGAACGGCCGCTCGACCCGATTCACGCCAGGAAGGGCAACGCGCAGGAGGACCGGGCGGCTCCGCGTTCCGGCAGCCGAGCCCCGTCCCTCATGCTGTTCGTGATTTCCGATTCCGCCGCTTCACTTTGCAACATGAGAGTCCGCAGTCTCTCTATGTTGCGCCGTGGACGATCTCGCTGTTTTTTTTTTTTTTTTTTTTTTTTAATGGATATTTGGCAAGAACCGCTGTTTTACGTTGATGTTTTCTTCTTAGATTAAGAGAAAGAGAGAGAGAGTTGAGTGAGTGTGGTGTGTGGTGTGTGTGTGTCAAAGAGAGAGAGAGAGAGAGAGAGGAGAGAGAGAGAGAGAGAGAGAGAGAGAGAGAGAGAGAGAGAGAGAGAGAGAGAGAGAGAGAGAGAGAAGGAGAGAGAGAGAGAGGGGGGGGGAGATGAGAGAGGAGAGAGAGAGAGAGAGGGGGGGGGGAGAGGAGCGGAAGAGAGATGGAGAGAACAGAGACAGAGATCCCCCCCCAAAAAAAAAAAAAAATAATAATAATAAGTGAGAGAGAAAGGGGACGAGGCAGAGACAGACACAGAGAATATACAATACCGTTGTAATATGAATCCACACATTCCTCTCGGCGCTTGTAAAATTTTAGAATTGTTTAATATCATATTTCTGGTATGTTGAATATCTAATTTCATTTGTTATGATAACGGAAGAATAATCAGCTATTAATCGGACATGGTAAAAATATATTCAAATCCCACCGGAATGAACGAATATTTTATCCGTTCCGTGGAATATTAAAATCAGACTTTTTCAGTTTAGAGGTCAAGCAGATGAAGAGATAAATGTTATTTTTTGTTTAATTATTATTATTTTTTTTTATCTAATTGTCTGTTTAACTACATACATATTTACGTAATTATTTTTTTTCTTTGACAAGTCTAGTGTTTAGTTGTTTTTTTTCTGTATAAATGTGTATTGTGTTGTAGGATCATTTTTTTAGTCTAATTATCAGTTATTTATTTTTTTTCTGATAAAGGTAATGTTTTGCTGTGCTAACATTTTATACAGCATTCCTTTTTTGCATTTTCTTTTAACAATTAATTGGTTAATCATTATGCCTTTCTGCTCACGATTTCATTATTATTATTATGATCATTATCATTATTATCATTAATATTATTTCATTATCATTATTATCATAATTTCTATTGTTATCATCATCATCATCATCATCATCATCATCATCATCATCATCATCATCATCATCATTATTTTCTTTATTATTATCATTATTATTAACATTATTATTATCATTATTATCATAACTTTATTATCATTATTATTATCATTATTATAACTTTATTATTTTCATTATTGTTATAACTTTATTATTTTCATTACTATCATAACTTTATTATTTTCCTTATAATTATCATTTTCATATTATCATTATTATTATCATTATCATCTTCATTATTTGTGTTGTTGTTATTTATTGTTATCTATATTATTACTATCCTTATTATCCTTATTATTAATGTTGTTATTATTACTACTACTATTATTATCATTATCATTACCATTACTGATATTTTAATTACTATTACCATCATTATTACCAATACGCTCCCTCATTCCAACTTAACTAAAATTTCCTTCGGCCTTTACCTTCATCTATATTTACCTGTAGTTACTCCTCGAAATAAAATAGGCATAGGTTATTCGGCCAAAAGAACAAATGGAAAACTGACCAGAAGAATAAAATAGAAAGAAAGAAAAGAAAAGAAAAGAAAAGAAAAGAAAAAAATTGTAGGACTAACTAACATACCATTTTTTTTCAGAAATGTAGAATCTCAAGAATAGGTAAAATGTGTGGAAACACACATCACGGGTTGTAATGATAATGATAATAGTAACATTAAAAATAGTAATAATGATACTAATGACAACAAAAGTAATAACTAGAAGCACGCAGAGAGCACATACCTCCGCCAAGGCAATAGGGTCAATGGTGCAAAAGAATACTCACACTTGTAGAAATACATTAAAGTAACCACTTTCTTAAGTACACTGGTGATATCCGTGTTTTCCTCTGTCGCAATGCCAATGAAAACACTGCTGAGCAAAGACAATTGCATAAATATCTGTTCATAACAAAGAAACTCTCTCTCTCCTCTCCCTCTCGCTGCTCCCTCTCTCCTCTCCTCTCTCTCTCTCTCTCTCTCTCTCTCTCTCTCTCTCTCTCTCTCTCTCTCTCTCTCTCTCTCTCTTCTCTCTCTCTCTCTCTCTCTCTCTCTCTCTCTCTCTCTCTCCTGCTAACCATCCTGGATCACCACCACGATTCAATGGCATCGAAGGAATATCTTTTCATAACTGGTTGAGTTATCCCGCTAACAAACTAACCAAAACTAACCAACGTTACGGAAACTAATACCGCCTTTGTAGAGGTAATAAAAATGATAAAAACAACCATTACAAAAGTTTCCTCGGAGAAATCCATCTAAAACCAACCTCTCCAATGTGATAGTTTTTTCTTGGATTTTTCTCCTTGTCCTTCTTCTTCTTCGTCTTCTTTCCTCTTCGTTTTTATCTTCTTCTTGTTCTTCGTTCTCATTTTATTTTCTTTTTTTTCTTCTAGTTCCCTTTCTTGTACTTTTTTATTTTCCTCTAGTTCCTGTTCATGTTCTCCTTTCCTTCTTTTTTCTTTTACTTCTTCTGGTTCATATTCCTGTCCTTTTTCCTTTCTATTTTCTGATTTTCTTGATTCATTTCCTTCTTTCTTCTTTCTTTTCTCTTTCCTCCAACTTACTTTTCCTTTTTTTATGTTTCCATCTTGCTTATTCTTCCTTCTTTTACTTCCCCTTTCCCTGTTTCTAATATTTCTTGTTCTTCTCCATCGTATTCCTTTCCTTCATCTCTTCTTTTCTTCTTTTACATCTCTCTTCTCATTTACTTCTCTTCTTTCTTTTTTTTTTTTTTTTACTTCTTCTATATCCTCTTTTTTCTTGCGTCTTTTTATTTTTCTCTTTTTTTTATCTTATTTCCTTGTTTTCTTTAACTTCTCCTCTTCCTTCTTTTACTTCTTCTTTCTTATTTTACTCCTTCTTTCTTATTTATTCCTTCCCTTCTTTCTTAATTTACTTTATCTCTTATTCTTTTTTTTCTCTCACTCCTTCTCTTCTTTTACTCTTTCCTACTTCTTTTACTTCTTCTCCATCTTTCCTTCCCATCTTCCCGCCGCGACGCTAATGGAAAACCTTCCCTTTAAAGCATGGCACTGGACGTGGCACTCTACTCGGGATGTGGACTACGAACCTAAGTCAAAATCTTAGTTTTTATTACTTATTTCTTTTTTTTTCTTTAATTTTTATGTTCCAGGAGTACGTTTTCTAATGGTTTGTAAATACATCATCGTGGTTTTCTTATTATGTATTTTTATGTAGTTATTATTTATATTCTTATTTTCAATTGAGTGTGAAGTAATATATTTTATTTTCAGCAGCTAATTTCTTTCTTTCTTCCTTTATTTGTCATATATATATATATATATATATATATATATATATATATATATATATATATATATATATATATATAATATATATATATATATATATATATATATATATATATATATATATATATTATATATATATATATATATATATATATATATATATATATATATATATATATATATATATATATATATATATATATATATATATATATATATATAATATATATATATATATATATATATATGTATATATATATATGTATATATATATATATATATATATATATATATATATTATATATATATATATATATATATATATATATTATATATATATATATATATATATATATATATAATTTTTTCTTTCTTTCTTTCTTTCTTCCTTTCTCTTATAATTCATGGTTATATGGTTATAATAGATTTCTTTTTCCATGCAGAATATTGTTTTGGGTAATAAGGTAATATGTCATTTACGTTTTATATGTTGACAAAACTTAGTCTTCATGTGTTTACTTCGCCGATATGGTCATTCACTGAACCATCGTAGAAGTACCGACGCTTGCACACAAATACACTCACACACACAAACCTCTCCTTCTCCTTCTCTTTCTCTTTCTCTTTTTTCTTTTTTTCTCCTTCTCCTTCTCCTTCTCCTTCTCCTTCTCCTTCTCCTTCTCCTTCTCCTTCTCTCTCTCTCTCTCTCTCACACACACACATATATAAACGCACACACACGATTTACAATAGACTACAATCGTGTTGTTTATATAAGTAAACAAAAAAAAAAACTTAAATTGTAGTGTATATCAGCGCTACTAGACACAAGCTACACTTTATACAAGGGAGAGGAATGCTCCAGAGAATTCATTTCATTTTCCACATTCTTCCACATTTCTCCACATTTCTTTTATTGGGGAAATTAAGCAAGCGATGCAATATATCCTAGTCTTGCTTGCTCATGCATTCAGTTCCTCGCTCGTAATAAGATTTCATCAAAGAAAGCTTGAGTTATTACATTTACTATGAATGCTCTGAATGTTTTGAATTTTATTGTTATTTTTTTTCTTTCTTTTTTTCCTTTTTAATTTTCTTTCTATTGTATTTTATTTTATTGTTTTTTGCTTTGATTATGCTGAGTTACATATAACTCAGCATAAAAGTATTTGATTTTTTCTCTTTTAAAGTAAATTATGGACAAAAGGAACTGTGATGAATTAGAGAAAATAAGGAATAAAGCAAAAGATGTAATTGACACGTGTCAGATATGTAATTATAAAAAAATGAATTGCTATTTATTGTCATCTATAATTCCACTATATACCAAGTAAATTCATATTCCACCCTCATCCATCACAACAAAATAATAAAACTGAGAAGTGGAAACAAACTCCTGGAAACCATTCCGAAAGCTCAGAACTATAAACGACCAACTCTACCATCTGAACCTTTCTGAAACCGCGACCGTCACACGAATCCCTCCCGGATGCTCGTCTAATAAAGGAATTGGATTCTCTATACATCGCCGTCATAGAGGATTAGCATTCCATTGCCCTTATCGCTGGGTGGGGGACGTCCAGTGGAAGGAGACGAGCGATGTTCTCAAAGGCGAGTTTTGAAAAGCGAAGAGATAAGGCGGGGAACGGCAAGGGGATCGATGGCGGATAAGGACAGATTATCCGCATTTCGAATGGCTGTTATCGGAGTATAAACACCAAGCTGCGTGCATGATTATATCGGTATGTCTGTCTATCTATGACTCTGTTTATCTTTGTGTTTGTGTGTGTGTGTGTGTGTGTGTGTGTGTGTGTGTGTGTGTGTGTGTGTGTGTGTGTGTGTGTGTGTGGTGTGTGTGTGTGTGTGTGTGTGTGTGTGTGTGTGTGCATGCGTGTGGGTGTGTACTTGCGTGTTGGCGTATGATTCTATTAAACAATATACAGTAGCATCAGTATTAGATATATGGTACAATGCCAGCACACACGGCAGACAACATTAACTGAACACTTCTGGAACCGTTATACTACTGAAAATAAATCTGCAAAGTTTACTGATCATGGGACAAGAAAAAGACAAGAAGCTGAAGTTCTGGAGAAAATGATCCTCACACTCGCAAAAAAAAAAAAAAAAAAAAACGTTTTTCGAGAAATACCACAAAAACAAGGAATCAAAAGATGTATAAGATAAATAAATAAAAACATGATATTGATAAAGTGAAGAGAAGTAAGCTTACACAACGACGATATGAAAAAGAAAATCAAGAAATGAAAAAAAAAGAAAAGAAATGTAATATATAACGGAATATATAACGGAATAATGATAAAATACAATGTTTTTATTTACGTATGTAGCATGAGAGATAAGAGGATACTAACTGGAATCGTAGAATTGGTGTATTTTTCTCTTACGAAACGAAATAGGAGGGGCAGCTTTCAACTCTTATGTTTATCATATTTGTGGTTTGATTTCTTCGACTTGGCGTATACGGATGAAGAATAATTTGGTAAAAAGAAAACCCACACTACCTAACAAAATAATAATAAATAAATAAAAATAATAAATAAAAAAAAAAAAATAAAATAAAACACCACTATATAACATAAGCATCCTATAACAAATTAAAAAAGATGAAAAAGTATAAACGGCTGATCAGTATCTTGACACTCAGAGCTTCTAAAATATCCGACATTAGCAAGGAAACAAAGCAATTTTACTTCGGAACTTTGATATATACATTCTACGCCTACATAGACAAAAAGGCGTATACATCAATAATATACAAAATAAATAAATAAATAAATAAAATAAAATATAAAATAATGATAATGATAATAATGATAATAATAATAATAATAATAATAATAATAATAATAATAATAATAATAATAATAATAATAATAATAATAATAATAATATAATAATAATAATAATAATATAATAATAATAATAATAATGATAATAATAATAATACAGGGAAAGAGAGCCCTAGGTAAGGATAAAGGAAAGCGAGGGAGAGACCAGGGATAAGATAAAGAATAGATGAACAAGGGGCAAGAATATTGCAAAAAAATAAAAGTTATAGGTAGAAGGGAGGGTAGGATAACAATATATATAGAAAGGGAATACAGATAAAGGTGAACAAACAAAAGAAAAGGAAAGAGACTGAGCTAGGAAAAGCTTAAGAATCTTAAGTGGTAAAGATTTGTAGAACAGAGGAAAATTGAGGAAGAAAGGTAATATGAGTAAGAAAAAAAGAAGGAAGAGGAGGGAGAGTAGCAGAAAGGAATTGTGTGTGTGTGTGTGTGTGTGTGTGTGTGAGAGAGAGAGAGAGAGAGAGAGAGAGAGAGAATGAGCAGCAAGGGAGAATAAACAGGAGAGAGAGGAGGAGAGAGAGGAGGAGGAGGAAGGTAGGAAAAAAAGAAGGGGAGAGGGGAGGTGGAAGAAGGGAGGCGTAGTGGCTTCATTGTCTTATCTCATTCTCTCTCTCTCTCTCTCTCTCTCTCTCTCTCTCTCTCTCTCTCTCTCTCTCTCTCTCATCTCGCTTCATCTCATCTCTCTCTCTTCTATGAAAAGAAAAACTTGTACATCCAGAGTCATTCAACTCTTGCAGGAGTAGCTTCACAACAGCAACAAAAAATTACTAATAACCATTTTTTTTAAATAACATTACCATTACAAAACCTCCCCCCTCCCCCCTTCATCCCAATATGCCTTTTCCCACGCGCGTGAACTAAACTAAAAAGAAAGAAAGAAGAAAGAAAAAGGGAATGAAAAAGGAAAAAACACACTTTTTCCGTTTACACTGGACGTCGTTTCTGTATCCGCTGATAGAGCACAGGTTTTTCTTTTCCTCTTCGATGGAGCTTTTGTGAATGAACCTATGAATTCGGTGTCGCTGTAGGCAAAAAAAAAAAAAAAAAAAAAAAAAAAAAAAAAAAAAAAAAAAAAAAAAAAAAAAAAATGGTTTCGCACACACAGACATACACACACAAACAAACACACACACACATTCCTTTC